CTTTCTGCCTCTCCCCACATTCCTTGTAGCCCCTTCAGGCTTGGAAACCTCCTCAGAGTGTGTGTTTTTTTTTTAAGGTGTGAACGTGTCAGCTGATAACTGGTTTTAAGTGGGTCAGATGGGAATGGCACAGAGAGTTTCAGTCAAGGTCTTAATGGGATCTTAGATACCAAGGCAGCCACCAGCTAAAAAATTGCTGAGGAGCTGAAAAAAAAAACCCCAAACATCTTTATTAAACTGTGCTTGCAGTCATTTCATGCTGACACTAATATAGAGTCAGTGTAAAAGTACCAGAAATTAAAACTACCCCTAAATTTTGAAGATGAAAGAATTTTTAATGGGTAGATGTTCTGCTTCTCATGCAATGACAGGCTAAAGCCAGACTGGAAAATGAAACAAGGCAATTTCTTTATCAAGGAAAGGTTCCATCTGCAAGAAAAATTATATATATATGTAGGAACTAATTAATGCACAAAAAAAGGACTCAATAGTCTTATAAATTCAGAGCTATTGCACCATTTCTCCAGTCTGAACATCCAAAGGGGACATGGATGTCAAATTAATCTTCACTTCCTTCAGGAACTGTGTCTCTAATGACTTCAGGCCTTAAAGATGATGGACAAGACCCTTAAAAGACATAAAATGTCGCTTGAAATACAAAGAAGCACCAGCATTTAATAAAGTTTTCATCATCCTGCACAAACCCTCCACAAAGCACTGGTGGCTGAAGGTGGTTCCAGGCCAGGGCTTTCTTTTTTGAATTTTAAAGCCTCGAGGATAAATTCAGGGGTTTGTTCCCCCCCACCACCCCCCCCCTCCCGTTCCTTACATGGACATTTCCTGCTCCTGAAATTCGTTCCTCTGCTCTTTATTTTATTTCCCCCTATTCTGAGAGTTCTTGTAGGGATTATGTTGTAAATGATGTTTATATTCTGTATGTGCCCCGAAAGAGGAGATGTCAAAGCTCATAATAAATGGCCATTGATACAATCATAGAAAGAGTCTTATTACTCTGACAAGATTTCAGTACTCGCCAATTTTCAAGCCTTGGGTCAAAACTACACAAAGTGTGTCATGGTTGCATTTCCAGAGTCTGGTAGGGTTGAATATACCCAAAACCAGAGTCAAATATTGCTGCTGAAAATATTCTCATTCACTTGCAAATTGTCAGAGTTTCAAAGATGCCAAATAAGGGACGAGATCAAAAATGTCCCAAGCTGAAGTATCACAATTTTACACACACAGACGTGGGAAAAAAATGTTGGAAAAAAGAAAACTAGCAAGAAAAATATATATGTGAACCTGTTTGGTGCTTCTTGAGAGTGTAAAACCAATTAAATTATTATTTACAGCTGGATTGTGGTGATTATTGGATTCACATTTTCCACTCTGCGTGGATTTTCATATAATGACACATTTCACCCCAAAGGGAGGAAAAGGAAGAAGAAAACCACAATGAAACTCGAATTCAGATGCAACATCAGTTTAATGATAAAAAGTCAAGTAGTTTTCAGCAAAACAAAAGGAATATATATATATATATATATTTATAAAGGGAAAAGAAGCCACTTAAACCATTCCAGCTGAAAGACAGCAAGCAAGACTCCCCTTTTCCTCAATTCCTCAATAAAACCCATCCAACTGACCATTTAGAAGCACAGCGTTTAGACCAGGTCAGCATGAAATTCCAACTCCCAGACACGAGGGAAAGTCGTCAGAAACAGGATTTTTCAAGAACAAGACAAGCTCGGCCACGTGTCCAGAAAGCCCCTTCCTCCCCCTCCCTGGGCTGGAGGAGGGTGTTGAAGGCGCTCAAGCCCTTCTGGAAGCGCTGACCAGCAGCTCCATCGGATGCTTTGGGCTCCCTGGGAGAGGCACTCGCTGGACTCAGGCCCGGCTTTAGCAGGGCAGGCACCTCCTGCCACAGTAGCGCCCACCAAAACCACCGAGGCCACCAAGGCTACCCAGGCCGTAGCCCCCGGAGTTGATGGGCACTCCCTCCTCGCTCAGGATGCTGCCCACGGCGGCGGAGGTGGTGGAGCCCACGGCGGTGTTCTGGG